CAGTGACAGAAAGTTGGCAACTATGATTATAACATATACCAGTAACTAATGGTTGTTGTATAGGAGAGGCTGATAAGAGTGATGAGAATGGTAAGAATTAATTTATGAATAAACTTTAACATTTTATTAATTATTTTAGTTAAAAGGCTCGTCATTTATCTTCCTAAGAGTGTCAATTTAGAGTTTTTTATGATGCGATCAAAGCTTTGGCAGACATTCAACAAAGTGGAATCAATCATAATGAGCAACCCTCAGTCTCTATCTGTTGATATTATCAAACATGTACTGATGGGTAGATACAACATGACATTAATGCCTCAGTTAGCTCAGTGTAAAGATACCAGTGACATTCTATTATTAGTACAAGAGAATAGTTCACTTGATGATATAAGTATGTTGGAGTGTCTTGTTACTTTCTTTAATATACATGAGGCTAAGCCAGCTATAAAGGAATATACACAAGATATTGAGAAATTAAAACTGAAACTTTGTCAATATTTGGAAGAAGAGCTTTTAAAAGCATCATCAATAATTAAGTATGTTACGATTTTCGTTGATGAAGATGCTCACTATTTAAAACTTGAAGATGTAGAGAGACTGTCATCAGCTGTATTATCCCGTTACATAAAATTAAATGTCATTAGAGATGTCTGTTATGATGATTATGATGATTATTATTATGATAGTATGTGGTATGATTGGGAAACAGAATCATTGACTGATATTGATGTGGGCCCTACTGTACAAAGTAAATATACCACACTAACAACTGAAGTACCAGCAGGTACATCAATATTATTAATATGATACATAATGTAACTATTGAGTATAGGAACAACAGAACCAGTGAGCCATTCTTACCAGGAGGAGGAAGACACAAAGGATGAGGATCAAGTTATGTTGCTACAGGAGAAAGTTGAAAGTATTCAAAAGCAACTGGAGGAAGAAAAGGAACTCCATGAAAAAGAGAAACAATTTCATGAACAAGTTATAAAGAAATACAAAGAAGAGATACTTCAACAGAAAAGGGACCTCATTTTAAAAGAAGAGAGAATAGCAACACTTGCTGAACAACAGGAGGAAGTTATGAAACGCAAGACAGAACGATATGAAGAATCAAGATCAGGTGAGATATTAAATTAATTATTTTTGATTGATACTCCAATCATTATTATCCTACAGACAATAATCTTACTCATAAACAACTGGAGGAACTACAAAAGAAATTAAAGGAAGAGGAACAAACATCCTCCAACTTCATGAAACAAAAAGAATATGCTCTAAGAGAGAAAGAGAAACTACAAGTAAAGATTGATGATCTTCAACAAGATTTAGAACTACAGCAAGCTAAAGATCACAAAGAAGTATCAGTTCAATGTGACTACACTATCACTGAGTCAGGTATGTGTATGTGTACATGAATGTAGTCTATACGTAAAGGTTATACCGTTAAATCATATACTGTACAAGATGATTTATTGGCTGGAGTAATATATTTGGTGAATTTGCCTGTAGAATGTTATTGGCAAATTTTATATTGGCGATTTTGTGCCATGCGCCATTCTCTGCCATTGAGCATGCTCTGTTTGAAACAAAATGGCAGATTTTATATTGGCGATTTCTTCATAGAACCGCCAATCGCCAGTATTAATTCCTCACCAATAAATCATCTTGTACGGTACACAGCATACTACGACCTGAAATCATGCGAAATGAGTATTAATGATATTTATTAGGTTTGATATGAAGTGAATGACATTATTGATTGTTATATATTAATTATATTCATGTACGGTACATTGTCATTCACTGTAGGTTTACATGAATTACCTACTGGACATATATACAATGAATAATGATGAAGAAAACGATATTAATGGTATGTTGTTGTTTGTGAAGCTACTGTTGACATGTTTATTAATTATCATTATTTTTAGTAAAAGATTCAAATGATGAAGTTGAGACTCAAACTGAAACTGAAAACAAAGAAATACAAACAACACAAACAAGTATGTAATTATTTATTTATTTTTTATTATTACTTTTATACTTTAGCTCTTGAGAAAGAAATTCAGTTCAACTATC